GAGAGAGAGAGAGAGAGAGAGAGAGAGAGAGAGAGAGAGAGAGAGAGAGAGAGACCAGCTTAGAACTTCTTAGGCCAAGAAGTTGGGAATATCCTTGTGTAGGAATTCAAGGAGCATCTCATGGAACCTAGCAGAGGGATATTTAAAGATTAAAAGAATATGATGTGGACTATTCGTACACTAGAAATGGGAAGAATTTACCATATAATGGAAAGAACACCTACCCCCGGGGAAGGAAGAGATCAGACCTGCAATGTGAGGTAGGCACAGCGAAGAGAAGCAGAATGTGGACACTTACCATTGGTGGAAGGTGTAAAGTTGAAATCTTTAATCAAAGTGTCCAAGTTTTTTTGACCACAACAAGGTTTCTCGGGGCCTTCTGAATTTCAAATGTCGTGAAATTGCTAAACTCAGGCTGTCTCCACACAGTCTCCTTTTTTTCCAGGTCTCCATAGAACAGCTCATCTCCATCAAATTCATAGGTAAACTGGCCATAGTCATCATATGTCTGGTAGATATTTGTGCCATAAGTGTCGACATGGTCAGCTGAAGAATAACCATTCCAGAGCACAATGATAAGAGTGGGCAGGTGAGATATAGGTGAAGCCAGATTTAAAGTTAGGTAGTCAGTGTAGTTAGATAATATCGAGTGAAATCTAAAATGGAGACCATGCTGAGAATGACTCAGGGAAAACACAGGACAACTCATGGAATGTTAATGAAGTCCCAAAAAGGCCCTAGGCCAAAGTCCACCTCAAAGAAATGTTAATGAACAGCCCCCAGCAAAAAGGTGCTGACTCAGAAGTCCTTCCTGACCAGATTACTTCTTTGGCCCACCTGTGTCCCACCCCTCGGGCCTTCCCACCTACATTCCATCACTGAAAGAACTATAAAAAGGGGAGACAACATCCCTTCCACGGATTCCACCTCTTGGGTCCCCTTCTTCCTCCGGGAGAAGTCTTTTCTGCTGTCCTTTAATAAACTTCTAATTTCTACTCTGACCTTGCCTCCGCGTGCTTCTTTGGTGTTATTCTTCAACACTGGGGAAGCAAGAACTTGTCACCAGTCAACAGCGGTAACATAGGGAGAGGAAAAAAACTTCATAAACAAGAAGGCATAGGAAATATTGTGAATGTTCCAGTGTATTACTCTATTTGGTTGCTATAACAAAATATCTTAAACAACCTGTATTATTCTGTTTCTGGGCTCTCAAATTCATCGTTCCCAGTTTCATTTATTCTATCTCAAGAGTCTCAGAGGGTTTTGACTTGTTTTGGCACCAACATAAATGTCTAAAGTCCAAACTCCCATCTAAATATTATCTAAATTAGATATCACTGATTCAAGGTATTCTGAGGAAAATTATTCTCCAGTTGTGAAGCTGTGAAATCAAACATGTTGTGTGCTTCCAAAGTACAATAGTGGTGGGGGGTGTGGGGTAGACATCAGGTAGACATGCCTGTTCCAAAATGAAGAAGTAGGAAAAAAGAAAGGAGTGGCAGGTCTTGAGCAAGTCCCAAACCTTGCAGATAGAAAATAATTTTCTCTGGTTTGACGTTTTGACCTCATGGGTCTTGCCCAGGGTAGTATTTGGGCCTACAAGGCTCTAGAAGGTACTGACCCCATGACTTTGGGAGGCTCCACCTTCATGCCAGTTCTTTAAGGCAGCCCTATCTAGGTATTGCCTGTGTGCCTGGGTTGTACTGCCCTGGATCTTCTGGGCATTACTCTAATTGGGGCTTTCTGCAGTGACTTCAGTGTTTCCAGGGCACTTGCCCTCTAGGCCTTTGCTGGATGGTAGCAACACCAATGACCTCTGAAATGCATTTGAGGTCATTCTTCCATTGCCTGGGATAACAGTTCATGGCTTCTCTTTAGATGGCTGACTAATCTTGCCATTGTCTTCAGACTAGCACCTGGCTTTGGTTGAGATGACTAATCCATACTAATCTTCTTATTAAATGGTCCCTTGGCCATAGCCTGATCTTTCCCAAACAGGCCTTCTCATTTTTAACAATATGTATAGGCTGAGGATTATCCAAATATTGAAGTTCTGCTTATTTTTTATTATCAACTTCATTTTAAGTCATTTATCATATAGTAGAAATAGCGAAGAATATTCAAGTTGCACCTCCAACACTATGCTCAGAAATTTCCTTACTCAAACATACAATTTAATTTCTCACAAGATCTACCTTCTAGGAAACCCTAGGATACAAACACAATTCAATCACATTCTTTGCCATAATGAGGATCACCTGTACCACAGATAGTTCCTAATAACATGTTCTTCATTTCCAAGTGAAGTTTCATGAGACTAATCTTTACTTCTGAAAATCTACAAGCAATTTTTCAGGATTACTTTGATTCTTAGGTATTTCTTAGGTATTCACTAAGGAGACTGAGGCTCACTCTTTATAGCTCTCTTCTTTTTCTTTTGGGCCTCCGGAAGAATCATCCTTCACATTCTGTCCATGATTGTGTGGACCTTTTATAGCACACAGCAGAAAATCTTTGCAGCCTGTATCCATTTTGCAATTCCAAAGCTTTTTCCATACTGGTTACACTAGTACTGTACCCTTTTCCTGGTACCTATTTTCTATCTTAGTCCATTTGGGGTTGTCTTAACAACATTCTATAAACTGGTTGAATTATAAATAGCAGAAATCTCTTTCTCTTAATTCTGGGGCTTAGAAAAACCAAGATCAGGACACCAACAGATGTGACTTTTGCAGAGCCTATTCTCTAGAAAGCCATCTTTTCACTATAACTTCATGTAGCAGAAGGGGCAAGTGAGGCTGGGTGCAATAGCGAATACCTGTAATCCCAGTGACACAGGAAGCTGAGGCAGGAGGATCACAAGTTCAAAAGCAGCCTTAGCAATTTAGCAAGGCCTATGAAATTTCATGAGACCCTGTCTCAAAGCAAAAATATAAAGAAAAAAATGGAGATACACTCAGTGATAAAATACCCCTAAGTTTAATCCCTAGTACAAAAGAAAGAAAAAATAAAAAGCCAGTGAGAATTCTTAGAAATATCTTAAAAGGGCACTTGTCTCAGTCTAATAACCCAATCTCCTAAACCATCACTTCAGAAGGTAGGATTTGAACATACAAATTTGGGTAAAGGGACTAATAGCATGTGGTTTCCTGTTTTGCATAGTCTGATGTCAAAGTCCCCATTTCTGTCTTTTCCTTCTTCAAGTAATTGAGAGACAAGTTTTAAAAATTGACTGTTTTAAATTTTAATTAACCAAAAATTATATTTGTTTTCATGCAAATTGTCTTTTCCATGATATTGTATACTTGATGAGAAATAGGTATGTTATGTCTTATTCCCTTCTGTACCTCGAGTACTTAGTAAACTTCATGGCACATAGTAGGAATTCAGTAACATTTGTTAGATAAATAAATAAATGATGATTAGGAAGTATTTTAAAGATTTCACTCTGTGTCATTTTTTTAAATACTTTTCTTTGCTTGGATTTTTTTGGGGGAGGTTAAACTTTAATGATTTTTTCAGTGACCATGACATAACCGTATAAAGGGCTAGAAAGGAGGCTGATATGTACTGGGATGAGTTATAGATTAAGAAGGTATTATGGAAATGGAACAGAAAAGCAGAGAGAGTTAAAGAATGATGTAATTTAATCTGTTTTGCCCTCCTTCTAGTGTTTTGATGGTTAGATGTGACAGGACTTGGAGTATGGGCTGACCAGCTGAGACTAACTTATTTCTAAGTCCCTAGGGTTTCCATCACATTATCCCAGTTTTCTGAGACAAAAAAACCCACCACCACCAACAACAAGATGTTACAATTATAATAATGCCAAACTTTGGCACTTACAGAGCTCTTTATTACTTAGAATACACATTTGATTATTTATTTTTATTTGTGTGTTTCTCAGAATATTGTGTTAATTAATTATACACATGGGAAACCTGAAGATCAACATATGGAATTGACTTGCTCAATGTCATTCTACTAATCATTTTAATTTTTCCCATTCTAATGATCTTCAGACAAATTTATTCTACTTGCCTCTAAAGCCCAAACTTGGAAAATATAAATTGTGTTGGAAACAAACTAAAAAGTGACATACTATTTTCTGTATGGCAGAAACATTTATGGACGTAGTTATCCTAAGAATATGGATAAAATAAGAATAAATCAACAATTGCTTTGAGAAAGACTTTAAAGTGGGCGAGGAGTTGTGGGTTCATACTTGGGTGCTGTAAAGGAAAGCAATATACTTGGAGAAATATCTCTAATTTCAGGAGTTATCATAAATTAATGGTGTAATCATAAATTAATACTGTAATAATGCTTGAGTATATCATTTGGTTCTGACTTTAGAAAGACAATAATGCCTTTTGTGAATACTCAATGAGAGGTGGACATTGTAGAATTCAGTTTAGTCTACTAAGATTAGGTTTTAGGGGTTTTGGTTTCTTGGAGGGAAAATAAGTATAACAATTCAGATTCAGGGGAACTGTGGTTTCATATACTACTATGGGGCAACAAATTCAGTCAGATTTTTTCAATTTTCTTTCACAGTCCTAATCCTCAACCATGTACTCGCCCACTGTGTCTTCACCTCTACAGGGGCTCATGATGGCCAGCAGGGTGAGCCCCCCCAGGATCAGAGCTTTCTTCATTGGCCACTCTCCTCCAAGGGAAACCTCAGAAGTCACTTTTCTGAATGGGGGAAGGGATGAGAACTGTGCAAAGAAAGTGACCTAAAGAGAACTACTGGAAGAAAGCATTTAGGAGGAGCCTAGAGCTACCCTTGCTGTCTCAGGTTTCAGCCCATTAGAGAAACCCATGGAGCTGACACCTCAGTTGCCAGTTGAAGTACTTTTACAAAGAGACCTGGAAGGAGCCTGTGAACTTCCCCTATTTGAATGCTGTAGGAGCACAGATTCACAATGGAGCAGAGGGAACTTTCACTGTGTAGATGGAGGAGAGGAACAGGAACCTCCATGGACCCTGGCAGAATGTGCAGATCTAGGGAGGAGCATGGAGATGGATGTTACTGGGAAGCCTCATGGATGGTCACTGTATGGTGTTCATTGAGTCTGTATTAATTATTACTGCTCCAGGAAAACTTTATTGTGTCATGCCCCACTCCACCCCACTCCACATCCCTCCTCCTAGTATTTTTGGTGACTGGGACATTAGAGAAATCAAATAAGCAAAATTTTGTTTTCCATGTGTTTTTCTATATTTTGGGTTAGCTTTATTCTCAAAAAGATCTCAATTAGTAGGAATGAAGTAACATTTTATTTTGACCTATTTCTGTACTTCCAATTAAGCAAGTTCTTAATTCATAGTCTCAAAAGCCCCAGAATTTTAAAAATCTCTATTTTCAAATACTTAAAAATTTGTAGTATCAAGTAGAGCCACCCACACTGACATGTCCTTTTCTATATCTTCCTGATTTTTTTTCTGCTTTATGTGGTCCTTATGGTCTGTCTGTGTATGGTGTTACATATTTTAAAATGAAGTTTGTGCATATGTTCATTAGTGATAACTGTCTCCATTAATTATGCCTCCCAGAAACTATGAGCCCCTGTGGAGTTTTACATCTATCTAAAGTTAGCATTAAACCTTTTGGCATAGATTTTTAAAGCCAATGGAAATCTTATGCTTCACTATTTCCATAGATGCCTCTGTAATTAGAAGATGTTTCTGGATCCACTGAGAACCTATTCTGTTTACTTTGTAGCCTCTAACTTTCTGTATAAAACACCATAATTGTTGCTTTTATCATTATAACTTATGTGCTGTCTTTACAAATCTATTGAGTTTATAGTAGTAGACAAAACACTTTTTGCAATTTGATCTATTATTTTTTGATAAAAAATTTTGTTTAGTAGCCTGAAAATTTTATTTCGTGAGATGTGAACACCATTAAACAGTGTCTAGTTTCAGAGCTCAGGATAAAGGAAAATCCAGGCAAATTTCTGCTACCAGATAATAGATGGCAGATTTGTATGTGCATGCAAGCATTTGTGTGTGTATTGTACATGCAACTTTGAGGAAGATTGGGGGAGATTAGTTACTTTTTCTGTTTTTCTGTCTCCTTTATCCATTACACTTTTTCCCCCTTTTTGGCACTGGGGATTGAACCCAGGAAAATTCTACCACTGATCTACACTCCCAGCCCTTTTTAATTTTTATTTTGTCACAGGATGTCAATTATTTGCCACAGCTGGCCTCAAACTTTTTATCCTCCTGTCTGAGCCTCCCAAATTGATGGGATTATCGGTGTGCATCACTGTGCCCAGGTATCCACTACACTTGTAACCACTTCTTGGATGTTTTGAGTTTAACGTGGTAGCTTTACATCCAGCAAAACAAAGTTCTTAACATAATCATCTGAGTAAAAAGATTGAATAACATTTTGAAAAATGACTAACACAAGGTTTCCTTTTATTTGATGAGGAAAGAAAGTGTTTCTCTTGCTAATTTAGTAGAAGGAGATGGAAGGTTAAATCATGTAAAATTTTCTAACAATTTGCTAGTATTCTCAAACATTAAGAAGTATACTATAGGCAAATATTATTTGATATAGAATGTTGTACTCAAACTGAATGATATACCATGCTCATCCTTCTTTTCTTTAATGCAGGTTTTCTGAGGGATTCCCTGAACAGCACTCAAGTTAGTATTAGTCAACATGTATACTACAATAAAAATCTGTATTTTTTCCATAACCTCTTTGTAGTCACAGCATCCACCTGAGGTTGAAGTTAATCATGGTAGCAGAGTTGAGCAAGACTGAGGATAGTGCATGGACTTCATATTAAAAAGACAGGAATTTGGGGCTGGGGTTGTGGCTCAGCAGTAGAGCGCTTGCCTGGCACACGTGAGGCACTGAGTTTGATCCTCAGCATCACATAAAAATAAATAAACAAAATAAAGGTATTGAATCCATCTAGAACTAAAAAAGTGTATTTTAAAAAAGTCACGAATTTAAGTTCTCTCTCATTTATCAGCTACATAGCTTTGGACAACTGATGTACATAATTTTAGACCAGTGATCTTATCTGTAAAACAGAAATGGTAAGTCTTACTTTATAATTAGTTGATATGTAACCTAAATCATATGTAAAAATATGGTGTTCATTTAGTTGGCATAAGCTCTTCATAAATTTGGTGTCTGTAGAATTTGTAATGATAGACCTACTTTCATTTTATCACTGGTAATTTCTCTTTCTCTCTTCTTTCCTGCAAGTTTATACATTTTTATTAATCATTATACAGTATCATCTTTAGTGTTTGATAATGCTGTTTGCCAGTTTTCTTTTTCATTGGTATCTGCTTTTAGTTTATTTATTTATTTTCTTATACTTCTTTAGGTCTATGACTTTTTTCTACCTTCTCAAGGTTGAAACTCATATCACTAATTAAACATTTCTTAAGTCCCAGTGTACATGTTTTAAAGGGATTAATTTCCCTTCTAGCTCTAACTTTAACTGAATCTCATATATTTTGATATAGTGTTGGTCCAACTGATGTGTTCACTTTGCTAACAATGTTCTAACTGTCCTTTTCTGATTTATGTTCCAAGGTAGACAAGAAACTCATATGTAACCCACTGTTACAATATAACCAAAAGGCAGAAAGTACTATGTATTTTGAATCAATGTATAAGTAGGGAAATAAATACCCAAATCTATCAAAGTCACATTGGATACTGGTTTAATGACTAATCTAATGGAGACTGACTGGAGAAGAAGGTAGTGCATGAAGGGCTTCAGAAGAATAGGCAGAAAATCAACCTTGTGAAAATACCCTATATTCTGAGTAACGACATTTTGAAAACTAGCCTGGGACCTAGAATACAGGATTCTGCATTCCACACTTGCTGTGGTATTTAATGAAAGGGGCTTGAAGGTGGAGAGAATCAGAGGTGATAGACTTGGGAAGGTGTTGATCTTGGGAGTAGAGAGGGGACTTCAATGATTTGGGCTCCTGTAAGAGACATAGCAGTAAAAATAAAAAGGAAGTAAGTGGAGGGATTGAAGTATTTTTAGAAACAAAAAGGAATCACAAAATCAGAGCAATTAACTTCTGATACATTATTGAAACTGCACTGCCCTGTACTAGCACTAGAGGGTAATCTTGAACTAAGAAACTCAGCAATCCACAAAAATCCTTCCCTTAATATACAAATCACTGTGCATAGCACAGGAAAATAGACTTCACAGAATAAACCAAAAACTATTTTAATAGATGTGATCTATTAAAGCCTCTGCAAGCTAGCATATAGTGTCTCCAATACAAGAATAAAGGGAAGAACAAGAATGACTTTAACACCAGTAATGAAGCCCAAGGGAACTGTAACACCAGGCCCCAGATGGAATCAAGCATTCATGAATTGAAGGAAAATTCAAATTAGAAATGAAATGAACAGAATACAGAAAGACATGAGTTAACTCAGGAAAGAAAAAAAAAGACAAAAATCACATTGAAAATGAAGACTAAATGACAAATTAATCAGGTTTTGAAGTTAAAACATAACAAAGGACATTGTAAAATGGCATAAAAATAGAATAGAAATAGATAATGAAATAAATAGGTAAATGAGTATCAGTGATTGCCTGAGTTTCCTAATGTTGCAAAACAAATTACCATGAACAGCAGTTATAAATAACACAAATATATTTCCTCATAATTCTTGTAGGCCATAAGTCCAGTTGGAACTTCCCTGGGTCCTCTACTTCTGGTCTCACAGCCTACAATCAAGCTAGGCCAGGCTGCATTGCTAACTGGAGGTTTGATTAGTGAAGAATCCACTTCCAAGCTCAAGTAGGCAAGATCCACCTACTTAGGGGTGAAGCACTGAGGGTTCTGTTTCATGCAGACTGCTGACCAGGGTCTACACTCAGCTGCTACAGGCCACATGGACTTTCACAGGTGCTAACACAACATAAAATTTATTTCAAAGGCAGCAAGAGAAAATCTCTTAAGCATGCTAAGAAAAAGTCTCACATAACAAAACACAACCATGGAGCAATATTCTATCACTTTTGCCCTATAACTTCTAGCTAAAGGAAGGACATCCTATTACATTTGTTATGTAGCATAGCCTCATCACCTTTGCCACATCATTCTGGTTAAATTCAAGTCACAGTTTCCGTTTGCACTAGAGGGGAGGAGGTTACACAAGGGTGTTACTCATTAAGGGTCACTTTGGCATGCATCTACCTTCTAGCCCTCATGGCTTATATGTCTCTCATGTGTAAAATACATTCATTTTATGCTGAAGTCCAAAAGTCTCATTCTATGGTAACAACAGCCCACAGTCCAAAATTTCACGTAAATCAGATCCAACTTAAGATGAGGCTCCTGGGAAAAATTCAGTACAACTCCTGGGATAGGATTCTTCTCCATCTGTGGAATTGTGACTAGGGACAAATTATCTACCTCCAACATACCCAGTTTATACTTGTGGGGCAGGCATACGGTAAGAGCTACAGGCATTCTTGTTCAAAAAGGGAGAAAGTAGAAGGTTAAAAGGGAGTCACTGGCCCATGCCAGTTCTGAATTCCAGATGGGAAAACTCTAACAAGACCCCTTTTGCTAGGTTCTAAGGCCTGGGATTAATCCACACCCCCACTTTCACAGATGTGGAAGGGAAGGACCAGCT